AACATTACTATGTCCGACTTAAGGAATATTCCAATAGAATATTCCTGAAATATTACAAAAAAAATTTTCATAGAAAATGCATTAAAAGTTGCGGAAATGTTATTCGTAATGTTGCTGTAATATTTCATTGAAATATTGAAGTAATATTTCAAAAAAATTATTACAATAATTGAGTAAAAATTTTATAATTTTTAAAAGATGACTGCACGAAAACTCAAATTTTAAGACGAATTTAAGAAAAATTAATTTATCCTTAAAAAGTGCGTAAACTGCACTAAAAATTGTTTGATACAATAATAAGAGGTGAGTGGGATAAATTATATTTTTATTTGACTCAGATACATTTATGAGCGTATATAATGCAAATCTATCAAAACGAAATATCAAAAAAATAAAAAATGATATTTATGATATTTATAATAAAATACATTAAAAATCTGAGCAAAGTTTAAATTTTTTTATTTCCTTAATCAGCGATATCGTTAAGTTTTTTTGCTGCCCACATTTTCTTTACGTTGTGCAGAATCTACTTTTGCAATTTGATTTTTTCTACTCTAGATAATCCAGATTCTTATAATAAGTCGTAATTGGACGGAACAAATACAGTCGTTGTTCTTGCTTGGGTCAAGTTAAATCTTATGCCAAATTGACAAAATTATCTAAAAATATAAAACACGGAATTAAGTAGAGACGAAACTTGTTTGCCTTGAGTTCATGCATGGAAGTGAAAAGTGAAAAGTGTGATGTGAAAAGTAGAATCTTTATTTTTGCACCAAACTAAAGCTAAGTAAATATTTTTGACACATAGAATTTTAGATCAAATGATATTATTGAAAATTCAATATTGCTCCAGTGTAAATTTTTTGATGTAATGAAAATTATATTTTATTTAGTTTAATCAACTTTGTGAATCGACCATTTCATTTACCCTTTGAACACAATAAAATAAGTTTCTATAGATATCTCTTTCCGACAATATTGAAACCGGACCAAGTCATATAAAAATCCGAATCATAATGCTACATTTTTATAATTTTTTTATAAATAATAACATAATGTTATTTTCCATAATATGAAAAGTGCACTTCATCCAAATCTGGACACCCTCTGCTGCATATTGCATGGAAAATGTTAAATTTTCAAAGAATTTTTCTGAAATTTTAATATTTAAAATTATTTTATTTATTAACTGTAATTAATTTTTCCTAAAATTGATGTTTACAGTAAATGATTTTATAGAAAAATTTGACTTAAGTATTCATGTTGTACTTACGCATTTAGTGTTCATTTCTAATAATTCGTGATTATTTGATGACTTTTCAAAGTACAAATTTAAATAAAGTCTCTGTGAGTAACAGCTTTGTTAATGCAATAACTCTTTACGTTATATTTGTGTGAAGTATTGGAAATACTACTGATTTTTTGTTTTTTCCAGGTATTTTCCAAAATTTTGCCTGTAATTCGGATATTTTCCAAGAAAAAAGTTCATTACTGCTTTCAAGAATTTCGTGAATGTTATATTCACTGGAATTACATGGAATTTCGTAAACGTCGCCTTGAGGAATACATTTTTTTCCAATTAAGTAGATATTATTTTTTCCACATTCTACAATGTTTAGGACAATTGAGATGCAGCCATCTTTAAAAAGAACACAATTATTTCTTATGCTGTCGCTATCAATGGAAAATGGTCCATAATTAAGACATTTGTACTGATGAGTGATTTTCATATCATTGTTCATCAATGGACCTGCAAAGTGAGATTGCTTTAAATTAACATACTCTTTTGTCTGTGAACACTTAATTTTTTCAGCAGCTTTAATTTCAGCATATCTTCTGCTCAATTGCTGTAAAGGTTTATTCTTTTTTCTTAATTTTTTCTTAATAGTTGTCATGAAATTTTCGAATTTAAAGGCAGAAAATGTATCTACATGGCCATAGACCTTAGCATCTTTCGAAAGGTGCAATAAATTGTGGAAGTTATAAGACATGAATTCCTCGCCATATGTATGTTGAAAGCTTTGAATGAAATAGACAATGAGTTCTTGAGCGTAATTCAAGTTTTCTGAAATTTTAATAAAAACAGGGCTCACTAGAATTGTCATTGCTACATGAAGAGACATGAAATTTCTATTCATATCTTCTGTCAAGACATTTTTTAGGACAATTGGACCACTATACAATAAGAAATTCCTAAACTCTGTCGCTTTCCAAAATTTCACGTCTCTTAAAGACCTTGGACGCTTGCAAAAATCTGTTGGTTGACTTTTTCTTAATTCGATTAATTTTGCTGAGATTTTATCAATACTATTTTCTGCAAGTCTAATTTTTGAAGTACCGCATAACCAAAGAAGATTAATTTTTTTTAGAACTCCCAACAATACGAGGTGCATGTAATCAAGAAGAACATTAGAAACAGCCCCAAATCTAGGAATTTGTGTCATAATGGTTGCTTCATTCTTCTGGTAAGTTCCTAAGTAGAAATTATTTTTAAATTCTTCATCAGTTCTTTCTTCAAATGGTCCTATTCCCGGAAAACAAACTCGTCGCTTTTTTTTCTTTGTGTGCCTGCTTGTTTAGGTCGAATACCTACTCCTTTATACTTGCATTTAGGACAACAGTTATATCCCGTATGACCTTTAACATTTAAAACAAGACTTTTTGCTGGCGCATCGCAAATTAACCCAAAAACGTTAATTTCAATTTTTCCAATTTATACCTTCATTACAATATAATTTTGCATCCTCTACAAATCTTGATAAAAATTCGTTCACGTTTTGTGGATGATGACATGATGCATAAGCTCCTATTATATAAACTTTTTCCGAATCTACTTCAAAACACAAGATTAGCCATAAAGAAGTTTTAGATGATTTGTAAATTGGTAAACCGTCGATATTTATCATTAAATCAATACTATTTCTTCTAATTCCTTTATCTTCCCAATAATATATAATTAAATTCAAAGCTCGCTCTAAACCTAAGTGAAAATATTCTCCTCCATCAGACAGAGTATCTATAGGCGCAGTGTTCCTTGGAGTCCGTAATAATGTTCGAGCTGTTCGAGGTAAGGAAAAATTCGTAAATATTCCTAAAATTATTAGCAATGCCGTTACAGCAACAAGGGGAATGTTATACAAAAGTGCCCAATTAGACAGAGCAGTTTTAAATTTATTATTCTTTTCCTTCTCATTTTTTTTCATTTTCTTCTTTTTCTTCTTCTTCTTCCGAATTCGCATCAATATTTCTATCAGAATCACTATCTGATAAATTTAATTCAATGTTATGATCTTTAAAATCAAAATTCAGCGAATATTCTGAATCATCACTAGCAGTACTGACTTCGTCATAAAATTCTCGTTTTTCATTTTCAATCAAATTCTCAGTATTATTTGAATAATCGCTAACAGTACTAACAGTATCATAATATTCATCTCTTTCAAATGTAACATTTTTTTGTTAAATCGATATTAAAAATGTCGTCCTCACTATCAGAATCGGAAATTTGAAAATAGAAATCATCATTTTCAATAGACATATCAGAATTGTCATAACTACTTATATTGGAATCATCAACTTCGTCAGATATTTTATTTACACGTAAATTCTGACGAGATAGTCCCTGAAATTCTAATGTTGTTTGTTTATGACTTGAACGTCTAAAATGTCTATTCGTGAACGATCGTGTGTTGCTTATTTTCGGCATAATTTTCAAAATTGTGTCAAAGTCATGATGTGAAAAAATCTACAAAATTTAAAATAATTAGCTTTTTTCACTATTTAAAATTCTTTCTGTCATATGAAAATTAACTACTGTTATAAAATAAGATTGCTGAACTCTTACCTTATTCTAATTCTCAATATCGTAATTAAAATTCGTTTTTCAAAAAAGCAACTTTTTTCCTCTATATTGTCTTTATATATTTTCTGACTGAAAAGAATACACTTTTTGCCATCCATTCTTGATTTTTATTTTGTTACAAAAAAATAGATTTGATAAATTTGCAATCTGAATTTGACATTTTTTAAATAAATAATTAATAAATCAAAATTTTTAGGATACTGATAAAAACTGGAAAATTTAATTGGTCATTTACTTGTTTCAAAATTGAAAGTTTGGATCTGAATCTATTTTAAAATTAATTAGAGTTGTAGCAAGTAGTTACTTTAATTAAATATTTTTCCGACTTATGAGAGTGTAATATTAATTTACTAACTATTTAAGAAATTGGTTAAATTTGAGAGAAGGCGTTATATTTCGTTTTTTAAAGTGATTAATTACTCCAAATAATAAAAAAATTATTTTTACAAATATTCAACCAATCAATAGGAACCTTTCAGTTTTAATTGTATATTTAATAAAATATTTAATAAAATTATTCATAATACCTTTGTGAAACGTCAGGACTCAATACAAAATACAAAAATCTTAGAATTTTTTTTTAATTATTTTATTATTAATATTGAAGAAAAGAAAAGAAAATTATTTGAAATTAAATTTTATCAAGTTAGTAGGAAGAAAAGTAAGAATACCTTTTAAAATCGAAATAATTTTTAAGTCATATAAAAATACGTAGGATATTTCACACGTAGAATATTATCGACATGTCTCAGAATGTATTTTCAAAATTTATTTTAAATAAAAATACCACATTTTTACATTCGTAGAAATTTTTTTTTTTAAACAAATTTGAAAAATTGTCACATTTAATTAAAATTGACTTAAATGAATAACCAATCAACAACATTCTTTTTTTATTATATGTCAAACTTCAGTAAGCAGAATTCAGTTGTCCAATACAATTCGAAACAGATCTGTCAAAATTAAAACCTAAATCGAAAAACTGTTTAACCGCTATGCAGAATGTTTTAGGTAACAAATACTATTACAATCAGAATGCAAAACATTATTTTAAATTACTATGTTTTGAATACAAAAATTTTACATCAAAATTTTAGACAAAGCGGATGTAAACCCACCGTTCTCAGTAGTGGAATTAAAAGATGGTGTTGTGTTGATACCGACGAAGTGGATTTTCACTCGAGAAAAAGATAATGCATATTTTTGCTATTATCCACCAACAAAAGAATCTTCAAAATTTAATGAAATGGTTTCCAAATTAATAAATCCAGTAATGACATGGAGACAATATGATATTTTGAAATATTTAAAAAAAACCAGTAAGCATATATATTTAAATAATTTTCCTTTTATCTTACGAATAAAATTAAAAATTTTCTGGTGGATTTCCCTAATGGATTTGTTTCGAATCGACGCAAGGATTTCTGTGAATAAATATTTACAAGAAAATTTTTTCAGATAGGAATAATATAACCTAAGTGTGATAAAGGTTATAAAATTAGAATTTAAAAATTACAAAACCTCCCTTGTATTTTTATCTTATTTTATCGAGAATATAATCAAATATATTAATTTATTGTTTAGACACTCTAGAGAAAGGAAAAGAAAAATTGCTAGAAGCGCTTGTCATGTCTGAAATAGATAGTGAAATTAATGAAGATTATGCGGATAAGTATAAAAAGTCAAGACAACATCGAGCGAAAACTAATACTCTGACAGAAAATTCGAAATTAAATGAAAATCCAATGAAAAAACAAGAAAATATTCAAACACCAGAACCGATTAATCAATTTGTAACGAACAAGGTTGACGGAGTTTTAGGTATATAAAAACAATACATATTTATATAAGGTATAACATAAATATTAAATTAACAATTTCAAAAATGATTATTCTATATAATGTATAAAATTTCTCTTTTATCAGAAAACGATCGCTGTAAAGTTAAGCTACAGCCAAAAATAATCGATAACAAAATATTGAAAACAAAATTTCTACTTCCTTTGCCACCAGCAAAAAGAGTTCGGACCGATTCTGAAACCGAAAATAATTTGGGTAAATATTTTACAACGTTAACAATATAATATAACAATAATGTCAATACAAATATTATTATGATATAATTATTATAATTCATATTAATTAATAATCAATTAATTATTAAATGAAAAATAAAAAAATTAATAAAACAGTAATAAAAATAATAATTTTATATAGTGCATGAAGTATCTCCTTCATTTGAATATGGTCCCTCTAAAAGGAACCTAGAAACAAAAAATATTGATTAGAAAATATTGGAATCAAATTTGGAACCATCTTTACTCCCAGCAAAAAAAATCGAACCGATTCTGAAGCTGAAAACAATTTTGGTAAAAATAATAATAATTTTTTCCTATTTATAAGAATTACTTATTTCAATTATTCAGCTTTAAAAAATTATTTCCTTCTTTCATAAATATTATTAGTATTTATTTCTACTTTCATCATTTTACAAAGCATATTTGACTAATATTTAAACTCCTAAAACACCTTTAAGAAGATAAAATTTTAAATACTGAATTGTTTTTTAAAAAAATTTTCTCCTAATAAATAAAACTTAAAAACAACTTACATTAAATCCGAATAAAGAGATGTTTCTTTTTAAAATGACATGTTAAATGGAAATTTGATCTTTATAGTGCATTTCACAACAAAAAATGTTTACTTTTCATTTCAATTTTTCATACATATAAACAATTTTTTGTTTATTTAAAGATACAAGCTTTGAAATGGAACCAATCCCGTCAACATCAGCAAATAATAATGGATTGAACGATTCTTCTATCAAACATTCACAAAAAAGGAAAGACACTCCTGCAAATTTTCAAAATTGCATGTCAAGCTTATCTTATCACGATAGAAAATCAGGTATTTTTACAAATATTCCTACCATAACAATAAATATTATTAATTTTGCCACTCAAAATGAAGTGCGAAATATTATGCATCTTATCTATCATCTTTCAAAATATATGGGACGTTTCATGTCAACAGGCCCAGAGCTCCATCCAAAATTCTAGTCAACGAAAATCAACTTATTACGGCTCAAAATAATCGTCAGCTCATACTACTTCGAATAAAAAGTGGCGAATTAAAAAATTCAAAATGGCGTCCTTAGTGTACCATGTTTTGCAAATTTTTTTACTAACTCAGCAAACAAATGTATTAATTACCTTGAGAAAATAATTGCAACTTGTTGGATAATGGGTTACTCTTATGTTTTTGGGGTCGATGATTACGAATCTGAAGTCAGATTTAAAAAATTTTCAAAATTCAAGATGGCGGATCCAATATGGCGGACATTTTTATTAAAATTTGATCAGATTCGCTTGAAACTTGCTACTCGGGGGTTTTTGGGGTCGCTGATTACGAATATAAAGTCAGATTTTAAAAATTCAAAATGGCGGATCCAATATGGCGACCAAATTTTTTTTAAATTATGAGATTTGCTTGAAACTTGTTACTCGGGGGTTTTTGGGGTCGATGATTACGAATCTGAAGTCAGATTTTAAAAATTTTCAAAATTCAAGATGGCTGATCGAATATGGCGGACATTTTTATTAAAATTTGATCAGATTCGCTTGAAAGTAGCTACTCGAGGGTTTTTGGGGTCGCTGATTACGAATATAAAGTCAGATTTTAAAAATGTTCAAAATTCAAAATGGTGACCCAATATGGCGACCAAAAATTTTTTAAAAATTATCAGATTTGCTTGAAACTTGTTACTCGGGGATTTTTGGGGTCGATGATCACGAATCTTACGTCAACTTTTAAAAATCAGGTCACAGATCACGATTCTGATGTAAAAGTTGTTAAAAATTCAAAATGGTGGAGCAAATATGGCGGTTGAAATTGTAAAATTTGTTTGCATTTATAAACTTAAATGTAATGAGGCTGATTTTTGAGGTTAAGGTTTTTAGAGTGAAGGACAGTTTTTGAAATTCAATTTGAGAATATTTGAAAGTTTCAGTTGTGCTTAAATTGTAAAAAAATGATATAGAGGAAATTTTTATAAAGGAAAGGAAAAATTTAAAAAAATTAATTTAAATATTTAAAGGACGAAGTTCTTGGAGTTAAGGGTAGATTTTTCAAAATTTAATTTAAGGCTATTTAAAAGCCTCAAATTAGCAAAAATTATAAAAGATTTATGTAGAGTAAATTTTAAAAAATATTAAATTTCTATATTAAGGTGTAGTTTTGGGGATTAAGGGTAGTATTTTGAAAAATTACTTTTATGATATTTAAGATCCTTTAAATGAAGCCTAAATTTGTATGGAAGAAAAATTTAAAACAACTAATTGAATAATGTGAAAGGGGTGGTTTATGGAGTTAAGGGTGGCGAATCCATCCAATTTTTAAATACTTTATTAACCATTTTAAAACCACCAATCTTATTTTATAATATCCAGTTTCAAATTCGCAATCACCGACCCCAAAAATCCCCGAGTAACAAGTTTCAAGCAAATCTGATAATTTTTAAAAAAATTTTGGTCGCCATATTGGATCCACCATTTTGAATTTTGAACATTTTTAAAATCTGACTTTAGATTCGTAATGAGCGACTCCAAAAACCCCCGAGTAACAAGTTTCAAGCAAATCTGATAATTTAAAAAAAATTTGGTCGCCATATTGGATCCGCCATTTTGAATTTTTAAAATCTGACTTTATATTCGTAATCAGCGACCCCAAAAATCCCCGAGTAGCAAGTTTCAATCGAATCTGATCAAATTTTAATAAAAATGTCAGCCATATTGGATCCGCCATCTTGAATTTTGAAAATTTTTAAATCTGACTTCTGATTCGTAATCATCGACCCCAAAAACATAAGAGTGACCCATTATAAAACAAGTTGCAATTATTTTCTCAAGGTAATTAATAATATTGTTTGCTGAGTTAGTAAAAAAATTTGCAAAACATGGTACAGTAAGGACGCCATTTTGAATTTTTTAATTATTATTTTATATTATTATTATTTTGAGCCGTAATAAGTTGATTTTCGTTGATTAAAATTTTGGATGGAGCTCTGGGCCGGTTGACGTGAAACGTCCCATATATTTTCAAAAAGCTCTAAAAATCAAGATGAGTATTTGAATATATACAAGAACTCAAAAACTTTACAATTTCGAACACCCACAAGTTCTTGATACTATTCGAGTGAAAATTTAAATTATTTTATTTTATTCAAAATTTATTTAAGAAAGTAAAATAAAGTTGTCGATTTACAAAATGTACTAAATAATTTTTATAAGTGTTCTGCTTTCTTCAAATGATTTTTTAAAATTATGGCCTATATTTTTTTACAATTAATAGTTATTTTCTTACATATTTTTTATGAATAATTATTATGATCATTATGATTATTATTATATTAAATGTTATTTTCTAGGACTTTCTTATGAAGAACTTTCTTTACAAAAGTTAAATGAAATAATACTTCTATTACGACACCAAAAAAAAACAACAACAATGCAACAATCCCAGTACAGTAAATATCAGTCGATCCTTCTTCGATTCCGTCAAGTGCCCAAAATTACCCATTTCTTCAAAGTCAGATCTAGAGAAAATTTCTAACAAATTAAAGAAAAATTCTCTAAAACTGATAATGGTATTAAGTGACAAAGTTTTTATGCTTAAAAGCCTCTTTTAATACATAAAAAGTAATTTTTACACTAAAGAATGATTAACTTCTTATCTGATCCATAAATCTTGTTTAAAGACAAATAATTTATGAATTTAAAGCATAAACTGGATACGTAAAGTGTTAATTTTTATTAATTTTCATTTTTGGTAACGATTGGCACAAAAGTTGCTTTTGGATTTTGATATTCAGTTTCAAAATATTTTAATTAAATGCCCATAGTAAATAAATAAAAACATTTAATACTTTTAGGTTATAAGAATTAAAATTGTTCATATGCTATAAAATTTATTTCAGATTGAAGCCCTAGGATCTATTGGTGGACGCGATTTAAAAAATACCGTTGCTAATATTTGCTCAAAATTATTCACAAACTCCGTGGCTAAAGCGTACAGTTGGTCAGGAAGAAAGAGTGGAAAAGATTCACTGGAGAATACTGTCTTTGCAGATCTTATCATAGGTAATTTAAAAAGCACAAAATTAAATTTAAATTAAAGTAATTACATTAAAAGTAATTAATTATTTATTCAATTATTTAATTAAAAATAAAATAATTAAAGTAAATTGAAATTAAATTTAAAGAAAATTTTTTTCAAAAGTTTGAGTGCATTTAGTTCAATTTTGAAGCTGTAGGTAGCGACTTCCAATAGGTACAATTTTTGGTACAATTGATTCCGGCGAACCTGTAATATATGAATTCAAAATTCAAACGAGAATCTCTTATACGGGTTTATTCTAAACAATAAACCTTTAAAATTTCTTATTTCTACCCCCTGTTTTTTTATAAATGGTAAATTCCCCTAAAACACTGCGATTTGCAAATTTTTAGAAAAATGTACATAAAAAACCTAAATATTAAAAACCTTTGAAAAATCGTTTTTTAGGTTTGTTGTGTAGAATAAACCCTTACGAAGAGATTCTTGTTTGAATTTATATATTACAGGTTGCCCGTAATCAAGTGTACCAAAAAAGTACCTTTTGGAAGACGCCATCTACAGCTAAGAAATTGAACTAAATACACTCACATATTTTTTTAAAATTTGTTCTGCGTAATTATTTTATCTTTCCGAATGTGAGATATTATTACAAGCACATTATTTAATCCAGGACATGAAAATTTGACAGAAAATCAGGTCCAAGTTAGTAATTAAAAATATAAAATAACTTAATTTACTGTCATTTTTAACTAACTTTTAAAAGCATTTAATATGTTTTGTGATTAGAAAGAAAATTTTTATTATATTATTTTTTGTATTATTAATTATATTATAGTATATTATAATATATAATTATAATATATATTATAATATATTATATTATAATTTTTGCGTTTCGCTGCCAGACAAACTGGTTTGCCGTTAGACTATAATAGTCATGATTATAGTGAAATTAGACGTAAACTTAAAATACCACTAATGTCTGAAAGATTTTTGTTTTCTGATCTTCTTTTTTTATTTAAAATCATCAATGATCGAATTAACTGCTCAGACCTGTTGTTTTTATTTGATTTCTACGTTCCGCAAAGATCGCCTAGATACCCTCCGTTATTTAAATTACCTTTCATTAAAGAAAATTACACTATAAATTCAGTGATCAACAGACTGAGCAGTGAGGCAAATCAGTTTAACAACAGCATTGATTTTTTCTGTAATTCACTCACAACTTTCATTAAAAATTTGCGTATCTTAATTTTCAATGATTATAATAACAATGCAGCCAATTAATATACAATAATCATAATGTATCTTTATAGTACTCTGTACGAATGGGCTCTGCCCGTATATTTTCAATAAATAAATAAATAAATAAATAATATATATACATGTAATAAAATATAATATATTATATAACAATATACATATATAGAAAAGATAAAAAGAGTTAACAAGAATATTTTATCTACAGGTAGCGTTAAAGTCACTTTTCTGAATGAAACTGATGTTATGATTAAAGATGCTGGTTCAAAGTGGATGGCTCAAGCTACAACTAGATTTCAGAGAGCACTGTAAGGTTTCATTTATATACTTAACTAAAATTTTGCATAAAATGTAATTTTGAATATTTCGTAACACAAAAAAAGTTTTTTTTATCACTTTTTGGGGAAAATATTAAAACACAATTTTGCGAGAACTTACTGATAATATCACAAAAAAACCTAGGCTCAAATTGAGCCTCACATGAGGCTTATTTTAAAGTGCAACAAAAATGAGCCTCTTAGGTGGCACCACGTTATAGGGCGTTTAACATGTGCTCATTTTGAAATGCAACAAAAATGAGCCCAGGTTTTTTCTTCGATTCTGCATATATTTTAAAATTTTAGATATATACATAAAATCCAACCAGATAAATTCCTTGTTTTGAATTGAGCTATATGAAAACTCGTTATTGAATTCTGATGTTTTTTCAGAGCAAAGGAAAGTACAGAAACTGATGATTTAGTGAGTGAAGAAGAAACTGAAGATGCAAATCTGCAGGACGAAGCTGATGACGAAGAAGAATTTTAATTCTATTTAATTTTTATGAATCTTTCTTATTATTATCAGTAACTCATTAGTTTATTAATTATTATTTTTATTATTTTATAATTATTAAACTATTACTCTTTGATGATTTTCTATAATAAAAATACAATTTATTTCATTTATATAACTCTTAATAATTTTATTACACGATTGTTAAAATAGTTTGTAAAATTTTTGAAACAATAAAGTGCTATTTTTGATTTTAATTTTAAAAAATTTTTAAATTCATATTGAAATTCCAGTTTTAGTTTTCATGCAGTCATCTTTTAAAAATTTTATGTTTTTACAAAATTATTGTAGGATATTTTGTGGAAAATTATTGCAATATTACAGCGAAATAATAGAGCATTAATAATAACATTACGAGCATAATATATAGCATAATAAGCATAGGAGCATAATAATATTACGAATAACATGTCCACAATATTCACAGCAACGTTCCAGCAACATTCACTGCATTTTTCATATAAATTTTGTTGTAATATTTCTGTATTATTCCATTGGAATATTCCTTGAGTCGGACATAGTAATGTTCCTGAAACATTTCAGCAACATTTACTTGAAATATTTCAAACATTGCAATGCAAAATTGCTGGAGCATTGCAGCAATATTGCGTGTTATGTCGGTTTGTTAATTTTTTTTCCCAAAAAACTATGAAGCCATCGTCGTAGTCACGACCGCCGTCACCCTCACCATCTTGGTAGTAAGAATATACCCACCGCTGGGAAGGTGATGGCGGTGGCGATGAGTTTGCCGGTAGTGGAAGCTACGACAATGGTGGTGGCGCCTCGGGATTGCCACGACCGGCAACTCCATGTGAGTCACCCACTTACTGCCGGCGGTGGCTCCTCATTATCTTCAATTGGGGGGAGTTTCTAGAAGCTCATATTCTCTTTAAAAAAAATATTATATTTTATATTATACACTACCGTCCGAAATTGTGCGAACGCTTACACCGCGAGTCATTGAAAAACATACTCGCGTGAAAATAAAGATAACTCTGAGAGAAATTAACGTAGAGACTTTTCCCTTATAGCGTTGGAAAGCTTATTAAATTTCGAAAAAAATGATACCTATTTGAATGAGATTGCTTAAATAGGTTTAAATATATCATGTTACAAAGTTGAAAAAATAATTGTAATTTTTTGCTTATTTCCTACCTTGACTTTAACCTCTTGCATGGTCCAGGAAAATCGACGAAAAAAATTGTCCTTTAACACAATTATTCTTTGAAATCTAAGCTTTCAGTAGATATGTAAGGGGGCTTCTGGATAAAGCGTTGACTTTAGCTATATCCAGAAGCCCCCTTACATATTTTTGATTGCGCAATTCTATTTTTGCAATAAAGAATGTTGAATTGAACACCCAAGGAATTTATTTGCACTATATTGTTTTTTACTCAGGAATGTTTATGCAAATAAGACCTGAAAATGAATCCTTTAAACAGATAAGATAGAAACTTTAGATAATTTTTGCAAGTTGAAACTTTTTAACAGTTTCGTTTATAACAATTGGAATTTAAAAATTGTTATTTAAGCTTTGTTTATCAAGGGATATTATTGTCACATGGAATTTTTATTAGCAATCTGGTGCGTATAAAAGGTAAGTCAAGTTCAGCATTGTTTATTAGTTTCTTACATAGCTTCAACTTGACAACCTCGAATGAGTAACTGTGAAGTGAAACAAAATTTTGAATTTTATCGGAACGAATTCAAGAGTCTCGAGATTTTAAAGATTTATTAGAAATATTTGAAAAATTAAGTCTTAACGAAAGTTTGTTTTCATACTCTGAAAAAAAATTACAGAGATTTAACTGACAAATTTGAAAAATTGAATATTTAATAAAAACATGAATTTCCAAAAATTAAATGAAGCAGGTCATGGTAACGTTTATCTTGCAAAGAAAAAATTAAGTGAATTGGAAGTGAATGAAACGTACATTATTTCGGATTTACATCTCGTAAAAACCAGATTTGGTTATCGAATTGTAGTGGACATTGGTAAAGAATTTTCAGTGTTTTTACCCAAGAGAATTTTCGATGTCATTAATGAGGATGAAAATCTATTAGCTCATTTAAAAGAATTGTCTGCAAACAAAAAATTGGGCCTTAAATATCTTGGAGGAGTTTATAATCATATTGAATTTCTGGAATTGTAAAAAAAACAACAATGTCTTATATGCCGAGAAATCAACTGATTCTTTCAAGTACATTTAATTTAAATTCATCATTTACTAAACAAGTTACGATAGGAGTACAAATTGTCAATAAAGGGGAATTAAATAGTGTTTTAAAATTTGATTCGAGCCATCCAAGAAGCAGTGTATTTTTCAATCTGAAGGAGTGGACAATTTTTAAAAGTCATATGAAAACGATCACATCATATTTTAATGGAAATGAAACCTCGACGGATATTATTAAGTTTGGAAATTTTCAAATACGTTTTGGAATTTTTTTGAAGGAAAATACAGTTGCCCTGGAAGATAGAAGAAATGAAAAATCATGTTATCCATTTATTATGAAAGAACCATCTTTTAAAATTTTGGAAGATCTTATTTCGTGTGTTGATCAGCGATTTGAAGATTTATCGTCTATACGTTTGAAGAAAATGTGTAATTTAATTGTGAAATTTATTACAGAAGTTTTGTGGCGTAAAAATGTTTTCAGTGAAAAAGAAATTGAAAATTTTATTCAAAAAAATTATAAAAAGTTAATCATAAAAATGGAAAGAAAATATGATTTTACATGTTTAGAATTTAAGACATTATTTATTGACATTATTACTTTTGATTTAAAAAATTTATGCAAAATATTGTGTGAAATGGTTACTAAGATTAATAGAATTGGATCTACATTAATGTGAACACATTGTACATAGAAATAAATATGCTTTTATTATAAATAAAAATTATTACATATCAGATTCATTTACCCAACTGTTATGTGTACTATCAAAACCTAACCATTTTACAAATAATTGAGAACCTCTCCTTTTAAGTATTTTTTCAACTAAATAAATATCAGAATATTTAACATTAGAAAGTTCTTGCTCGTAAAAACATCCACTGATTGGATTTTGTTGATAATCTTTTAAAAGATATGTTACTGGATTCGTATTCTTTACATGGCTAACAGTAAATATTTCTGTTGTCCAATTTGGAGTATAACCTTTTTCAAAAATGTGTTTAAATTTACTTATACGAACTTTATCTCCAACTTGAAATTTCCTTAATTGTCTATTAATTGTAACATTTTTCTTAAAAATATTTAACAATAAATGTCTTTCATTTTGATTATTTACATCTTTTGGTTTCATTTTAATAGTACGATGTTTAGTATTATTATATAAAGATATTAAATCACTTAAAATGTCAATCCACTTATAACTACCACGCAAAGTAAATTTCATCCACATTTTAGTTTTCAAAGTACGATTAAATCGCTCACAAATTGATGCCTTTAAATTACTAAAAGTAGAATACAGATTAATATTATAACGTATCATTAAATTCTGAAAATAAGAATTATAAAATTCTTTTCCTTTATCCACTTGTAAGTTTTTTGGTACGCGTCCTTTGATTAGAACCGATTCCATAGCTTTGGCTACAACTTCGCCTTTTTTAGTCATTACAGGAACAGCCCATGCAAACTTGGAAAATACATCGATGATTGTTAACATGTATTTGTAACCTTTATTTTCTCGCGCATAAGGTTGCATTTCAACGAGATCAGCTTGCCAAGTTTCATCAATGCCTCGAATGTCAACCTTTCTTCGTTTATAGTTCCTTCTAGCTGGTTTATGCAACTCTTTCACCAATTGTAGTTTTTCAGCAGACATTTTTAATCTTACTACTCTCGATTAGCTTCAAGTGCGCTCAGTCTGCTGTCCAATCGAGAAATAATCTCCTTGATGGAAAATATGTCCATATTTTTTTCAAAATTCATTTTTAGATTTTCAAACAAATTTTGCATAGAATTTTCTAATGTTGTAATTTTTACATTATTGTCAAGTATGTTGTTTTCCAATAATCCTGTTACTTTATAGATGTCGTTTGATTCAGTTTTTACAATTTTCTTAACAAGTTTCAAGTTGACTGCATCGTTTTCATTATTAGCATCAGCAACATTACATAGTTTTTTATTTTCCACATTAAAATTTCCTTCATATGTAAACTTAAAACCAAGTCCTGGAGGCCCGCGATTTGGAGTTTCTGTACTCTTAAACTGACGACCGAATATGTCGATACTCATCTTGTAAATGAGGTTGACTTACATAAAACTGAGTTAATAAATAATTCTCGCTTCACGTAATTCCTCAATTATAGATATAATTTCATTATTATGACTAGGATTTCCTGCAGTTTGAGAAGATAAAAGTAATCGCAAGCGGTCTACCAATTCATTTGGATCATCCCAATAAATTAAGTCAATATTTGCATTTTCTTTATCAATCATATACTGTGGTATTAATCCTCCACCAAGTCTCTTTTTTTCAGATTTTGGAGATGATAATTTTTTTGCAATAAAATTTTGAAATTTAAAACTTTTATTTTCCCGAATATTTTCTTCAGATTTATAATATTTTTTGTGCGCATTAGTTGAAATGACAATATTTACATAATTTGCTTGATCATATAAACTAATAAAATTTTCTTCTGGTATTTTTTTAAATAAAAGTTCAAGTAAACCCCTCGTTGCTGGATAAATTGCCTTGTTTATTATGATATTATTTTCTTGAAAACTTATAGGTGAATCACCAATCATTAACCTTCCTTTAGCTAATTTTCGAACACCATATATAATATCTAAGTCTTTTTTCTTTTTGTCCAATAAATGCAAATAATCACTTATAATTGTTTCCTCCACACTATCTGCTGAATTTATAGTTTTTGAACTATGTATACTGTTATCTAAAGATGCAGTTTTAAATGACATGTCATTATCATCAATGTCATTTTGACTTATGTCAAAAATGTCTA